TCGCCTTGGTGCCTCCTCCGGCGCTGCAGGCTGCACCGCCCTCCCCCTGGCCTGCGAGTCGGGATCTGCGCTGCTTTGGGGGACCCTGCGCCGTGGTTCCCCTCCCAGCCCGGGGAAGGATGGGCCCCAGGGCCAGACAGAGTCCCAAGTCCCCACTGGCTCCCGCCCGGGGCTCGTGCCTCTTCCTCCTGCTCTGCCTGCGCCTGGGCGCCTCCTGTCCACAGGCCTGCGAATGCCCTGACCACGCGGGGGCTGTGGCCGTGCACTGCAGCGACAGCGGCTTGCAGGAGGTCCCTGGGGACATTCCCGCGGACGCGGTGCTCCTGAAGCTGGACGCCAACAGGATCTCCCGCATCCCGGACGGCGCCTTCCAGCACCTGCACCATCTGCGCGAGCTCGACCTGTCCCACAACACCGTGGAGACCATCGGCCCCGCGGCCTTCTCTGGCCTGGCTGGGGGCCTGCGGCTGCTGGACCTGTCCCACAACCGCATCCGGAGGATCCCCAAGGACGCCCTGGGCAAGCTGAGCGCCAAGATCCGCCTGTCCCACAACCCGCTGCACTGCGAGTGTGCCCTGCAGGAGGCGCTCTGGGAGCTGAAGCTGGACCCCGACTCGGTGGATGAGATGGCCTGTCACACTTCCGTGCAGGAGGAGTTCGTGGGCCAGCCGCTGATCCAGGTGCTGGACTCGGGCGTCAGCCTCTGCAGCACCCATCACAAGACCACGGATGTGGCCATGCTGGTCACCATGTTTGGCTGGTTCACCATGGTCGTCACTTACATCGTATACTATGTGCGGCACAACCAGGAGGATGCCCGGAGGCACCTGGAGTACCTGAAGTCCCTGCCCAGCGCCCCCATCCCCAAGGACCTGGGCAGTCCTGTGCCCTAGAGCCTGTGCCCAGCAGGCCACTGTCTGCCACCTGCCGTGGACTTCCTGGCAGGAAGAGACTAACGTGGGAGGTGGGTGTGACAGCAGGTCCTTCATGTACTGCCCCTGGTCACTCAGTAGGGGAGGAAACAGAGGCTTGGAGAGATGGGGACTCTCTGGACCACACAATCAGGATGCGGTCCGCCCAGGATGGGAGCCCAGGCCACCCATGGCAATGTTCCATGCCCCTTCTCTCCACCAGTCCCTCCCAGGGGCTGTGTGCCTGTGAGCCACAGATACATGAGGAGCCGGCTTGTCTTTGTTTAATCCCGAGCACCCTCGGCCTGGATTGTGTGCCCCGTTTCCAGAGCAAAGTCCTGGGGACTGGTTCCCAGGGTGAGGGGAGGTTGGAGCTTGCCCTGAACTTGGCTGCCAGAATGTTTGAGTGACCTTTGCACTGAAGTCCCCTCCATGGACTGAAAACCAGAGGAAGGTCCAGACAAGCACAGCCCTGCCCTGCCTCCCACGCTCTGGCTGAGCCTCCTGGTGGAAGGAAGGCCTGGACCGGTCACTGCTGTGCCTTGCTTTTCCACCACTGACTTCCAAAGCGGCCCTTTTCAGGGGGCGGGAGGACCGATGCATGACCTCTCCTGGCTAATCCACCAGTGCTGCTTTTCCTTGGCAACAGGAACTTTCTCTTTTCACCTTCACTGCCAGTAATCTCAGAGAGCATTTATTGCTCCATTTTCTTATGTACATGACTTCGTGTTCAAGGCAGATGTTACCACCACCCCTATGACTGATTTTACTTGTCACTGTCCTTTTGTACGAATGTTCATATTGTAACTGCTTCACAGCTCTTTTTGAGGGGTAGCAGATGAGTGTAAATTGTGTGTGGACTTAAGGGTAAAGGGTAGATGCCTCTTCAAGCAGAAGCTTGAAGTCAGTTGGGGCGTCTGTGTCTGGAAAGCACTGTGTACAGGGCCTGGGCTGGAGTTTGGAGACCTGGTCCCCACACTTGTGGAGAGGGACGGGAAGAGCTCCGTGGAACACAGCAGTGAGTCTTTAATCGTGCTGCACGGAAGCGACGACCCACAGATGTGGCAGGTGCCCTTGCCTGTGTCCGGGGCAGGTGCAGGGCGGCTGCTCAGGGCTGTGTTCCAGCAGGGCAGAGTGTGCGGGACCTGCCCAGGAGCTGGGGGTTCAAGCCTGCTCCCCTGGCCTGCTCTACACTGCCCAAGGCAGTGACTCGAGGCTGCGGAGGTCGCCCCTGCCATGCCCCTGCCCCTGGGAGACCTGAGACCCAGCGACTGGCCTCTTCGGGGTGATCTGGGTGTTCACATGGTGGCAGCAGGGTCCACGCGGCACAGATGCGGCCAGCGCGAGGTGCCCGGGCCCAGTGTGCAGGGCAGCAGCAGGCCTGGCCTGTGGGGTTTTCTGTGCAGAGGAGAAGGACACGTGAGGGATGCGTGTGTGAAGGACATGGGTTCCAGTGCACAGGGACACCTCCAGGTGGCGGCTGCGGCTCTGGGACACACCTTGCGGAGGGGCTCGGCTTAGTGCTGCTCCTCTGCTGTGACGAATGCTGCCGGGAGCGGATGTGGCTGTTTGGGTCCCTGCCACCCCTTTGCCCTGCCCCTGGGTGCTGCCGTGAGAGAGGCCCCTGTGCCAGGCCCTGGTGCTGGGCAGGGGCTGGGCAGAGGCCACATGGTGAAGGTCAGGAACCTCGGGGGCACGTGGCAGGCTGCCCCTTCTCTCCTTGCCCCGATTTGTACCCCTCCAGTCCTGGGCCAGTCTGTCCCTGGGGGTCACTGGGCGCGGTGTAGCCCCACCAGGCCAGGGTGGGGAGAAGGCCCCTGCCTCCCCCAGGATCCCAGGCTCACATGGTCTTGCTGGCTCCACCCTCTGAGGAAGCTCCCAGACCCTGCCCGGTTCCTCCGAGCCCCCCTGCTGCCCAGAAGCTTGGCTTGGGGGGACTCCCTCGCCCTCCCCCTCCCCACGCTCACCCACCACACCGCACCAACC